ACTGGGACTGCTCCGAGCAGTGACAGATAAAATTCCAGCTGCAGTCTCTCCCTAGTCTCCTTCCAGAAGCGAGAGAGGTGCAGGGCCCCCAGTTGCAGGGCACGGAGTGCAGCTCCTGGGGCCCAAAGCTCCCCACAGGATAATTAATGGGCTTGGTTTCCTGGTAGTCCGTAGATTGCACTGTCGTGGGGCATACCCACTTGTCCCCTACCTCCCCACCCCCCAATACCCCTACTGCAGCAGTAGCTCCAAAACCAGAATAGTCCTGCCATCTTGTCACCAGCTCCAGAATCCTGAATTGCCTTGACCACCGGCCCAGGCCTGGTGACCTCCAGATTGGACATGGAAAGCCTGTCTTGGACTTGCTGGTACAGGGCTCCGTCTCATTTTGTAAAACGTGACCTCCGTTCGGTGGCATTTGTGTTTGTAGGGCTTATAAAAAGCTCTTGAATCAGCTTTAAAACCCCCAGTTCTGTGGGCGGCGGAGAGATTGTTTACAAGGTTTGGTTGGAAATTCAGGAGGTTGTTCTGTTCGTAAGATCTGTAAAACCCTGGCCCATGCGGACTGATGAGGTTAGGCTTTGGGCCGAGGTGACAATTGGTAATGGTCCTGCAGGAATCTGGTAACGACATTCTTAATCTCGTCTTTGCTTTTCTGTTTTTTCCCTGGCCTTCTTCCCCCCTAAAAGGGAAAAATTGGAAAAGGACTTGCCTCCAGAGAGCCTATGAAGGCACATTGACATTCTTAATCTCGTCTTTGCTTTTCTGTTTTTTTCCCTGGCCTTCTTCCCCCTAAAGGGGAAAAATTGGAAAAGGACTTGCCTCCAGAGAGCCTATGAAGGCACATTGAAGGAAGGCTGTGCCAGAAACCGTGTGCCCTAAGTCTTTATCTCTCCAACCCAAGAAAGTTTTTTCTTTCCATAAAAGCAAGAGTTATCCAGGAGAGGATAAAATTTAGCTTGTCTCACTGAGAAGATGCAATACATGAAAAATGAAAACTTGGGAGAAAAAATGGGGGATTTTTTTCTTAAAAAGCTGTTTGAAGAAAATAAGTTTGAGTTATTATGCTTCTTAAACAAAAAAATCAGATAACAATTATTTCACCCAATATGATTCGAAGTGAAAACAGCCATTTTGCAGGTGTTAATTGTTTACATTTATCATTGCTCTTTCATCCTTCCATGTCCTGCACAGGGCTGGAGCTGGTAATAGTTCACCACTATTATTGTTATGTTTTGCTCTGGAGTCTACATTTAATTGTCTCACCAATAAGAGAATTTGATCTCTCAGCTAGGAGCCAGAAAATGTCTTTCCAGCTTTTGTAAACATTAAGATGGAAAAAAATATTAAATTGAAATCTTTACGTGTAAGACAAGGCTAGTGATTATTTAAGTTGACAGTCGATCTATTTATTCTTCCACATATATATGGAGGGGGGGTCAGTCCTGACTGCTCCACTGAATGGGGAACAAGAACTCTCCCTCAATAGAGCCTCTCCTAAGGTGATGAGAGTGACCGCCCCGGGACTCTGTTAGGTCAGAGCCACGCAGAAAACTTACCTCTCATCTTCTCTTCAGAGGGGGTAGGATGGCACTTTGCCCTTGCCCTGGGCTGCCCATTGAGCCCCTCCACTTCGGCCAGCCTGGAGCCGGGCCTGCAGGTGTGTGGGAGGACCCCGAAGGTCCATCTCCATGCAGCCAAGTCTCCAGCCCAGAACCCAAAGCACACAGGTGTGGCCTCTGCCAGTCCCAGGCCCTCTCCAAGAGCCGCCTTCCATGCCATAGCCAATTCTCAGGGCCAGCCAGGCCAGCAGGCCTCAGAACTACAATTGGTCTCTCCGATGTCAGAATCTCAAAGCCAACGCGCGCTCCCCAACTGGCAACTGGCGTGCGCCCCCAGGGCGCCTTTGGGACGCGGAGTTTGGACAGAAGCAGCCATGACCGGCCGGGCGGCCTGTACAACCAGTCTCCATGGTGCTGGGTTGGGGGCGAGGGAAGGACCCGAGTCTATTCCGGCGGCTGAGGTTTCTGCCATGGGTAGCCGAAGCAGGGAGGTTTCACAGCCAAACAGACCCTGGGAGACTGCCCCTCACGTCCCCCTTTGTGCCCCCCTTCCCCTGTTTCTGGGGGATCTCTGAGGGGCCCGTACAGCAGTCGCGCCAGGCTCGAAGAGGCGGGCCGCTGCTGGCGCCGGTCCCGGGGACGGCCACAGCGTGGCAGCAGCGAGCTCCCAGCACGGCCGCAATAAATAATCCGCCCCAGGCAGCCACAGTCAGGCAGCCAGCGGCCCTGGGAGGCAAAAGCGGCGCTTTATCTGCCCCTGCCCCGGGGCGCACCCACAGCGTCGTCCAGCGAACATCCCAAATATCAACGTGTCCATCTTAATTATCTGATCTATGCCGATACACTCTCTTGCGAGAGGAAAACAACAACAACAACAATAACAACCCAAAACCAAATAAACAAAAAGAACTATAGCCCAGAACCTCGCGACTGATTCTCGAGTGGCTCTGTCTCTCGGGGGGTGGGGGGACGGACGGAGGGGGGTGCAAATCTGACCTGGTCAGCTGCGCTTTCAGGCTCAGCCACCACGGCTGGTACCACGGCGCAATGCAAAGCTACAGCCAGGCCAGCAACACTCAGTGCCGCCTCGCGGCTAGCTGTAGTCCTCTCCCTGGCGGCTCGGGAGGTAGGGGACCGTGGACACCAGCCTATCACTGTCCTTAGGTGGGCTGGGGCTGCCACCCTGTTATTTCTCAGACTCCGTTTCGCAACCTTCCTTCAGAAACCTTAGATATGGTCCTTCCACGCGCGCCAACACGACAGTCCTCTGCACCGAAACATCCTCCAGTAGCACCCAATTAATTCGATTCTCTCCTCCAACACAGAATTCCACACATGCACCTAGCCCCTTTCCCAGGGCTCCAGACATCACTCTGGTCGGAAAACCGGGCAAATGAAGCAGGCAACCATCGGAGAACTCTGAATTAGTAAGTTTTGCTTTTGTGTTTGCTTGTTTGCCCCATCCTCCCTTCTCTCTGAGACTAGCCCCACAGGAGAGAACAGTGTGCTGAAGCTAACAAAACGCCCGTGGGCTACCTCGCTCTGCTCTCCTCTCTGCCCACATTCCCAGGTCGGGAACTATCTCTGGTTATTAGGGGAGTCAGTTGAATCAATTGGGCCATGAATGAAATAATCCCAAGCCCCAGAGGCTGATAGGGAACAGGAGAATGCCAGATGACTTCCCTTTGGGCTTCCCGGGGTCACTGGGGAAGGGCACTGTGCCACAGAAGGAAGGCTGATCTGCCTTGAGGGAGGAGAGCGAGTGATGTAGGTGGTGGCGGTAGTGGGGGAGAATGAGTGACGTGTTTGGGCTGCGGTGTGTATTGGGGCTGGGTGTGAAGGGACAGTGCCGATGATGATGATGATGATGGTGAGAAATGCCCTTTTTCAAAGTCGTTCTGGGTGCCCTCTCCCACCGCTGTGGCACCTCACCCACCTTTGCCCTGTCTCCTCCCCACATGTCTCACCTTCAGACCGCGGCTCCCAGAAGCTCCTGCCTCTCTGACAGCTGTCGCTTCGGCAGCCCAGGAGACGAATTGTCCTCCTTCCTGGTGCCAGAGGACGCAGGAAATTAGCCAGGTTGTGAGTTGCAAAGCCGCGGCTGCTGCTCCAGGAACTGGACGCGCCCCACCTCCAGCGCCAGCGGCCGGCCTGGGCCTGGCAGTGCCTTCCCCTCGCTCGCCATCGCCGGACAAAGCGGAGCCCAAGCAGGCTGGGAAGGCAGAGCTCCGAAGCACGCAGGACGGAGCGGAGCAAAAGAATGCGGCTCTATTCTCGCAAGGGAAATTATAAAAAAGTTCATGTTCACGGTTCCTATCCACATGACCGACAGCGGCCAATGGAAGGGCCGAACAACTCATAAAGTTGTATTGCAAAGTTGTAAATTTTCATAAACAACAACGGATTTATGACCCTTTCCCCATCACTAAGAGGAGGCAGCTCTTACACCGGCGCCATCTTACCACCGAGGCTGTCCCGACTTGGGGCTGCAGGTTTTACAGACCCTTTTAGGTTCGATTTTATTAAAAGAATCCTAAGAAGCTGGTTCAACCCAGCCAGGAGATAAGAATGGAGATCTTCGCGGGCCAAACTCGGGATGCTCTAAGCTACTTCCACCGCCCCTCGCCCCTGGTCCCTCGCTGCTCGCCCCTTCCCCATCCACAGTCCCTCTTCTGCATCAGGACTTGCCTAGGTCTGAGGCCCATGGCAGTCCCAGAACCCCTCCGCTGCAGTGTTGGGCCCTGGGGCATCCTCGCCTCTACTGAAGGCTAAGTGGGGGTGCTGCGGCAAGGACCCTGAATCCTATTTCCTACTCTAGGGTGGACTCAGGGCGCATGCGGAATCCGGAATCAATTGGAGGGTAGGTAATACCCTTTGAGAGCTCAGTCTACACCTTTAGAGGAAAGGTTGAATTTGGAATTCGTTCTTGGAATTTGTGGAAGTTTGGGATGCCACAGACAAAATATACTGTATTAACTAATAGCTGTTTTCAATGGATCTAGGTAATTGGTGCACACAATAGCCAGACAAAAACATCTACAAAGAGGAAGGCACGGATACAATTGCAGACGCAGAAAAATGGACGCATAGACACAGAAAAACGTGCAGTTGGACACAGAAACGCACACATCCAATTATAGACATGGAAAATGTTGACACACAACACAGATATACACACATTATGGATGTGTAAATGTACACAATTATGAAAACTATAAGCAACCACAAACAAAAAATATAGAAGCACGCTTACTCACACAAATCTACACACACACATGGGAAAAGAGACAGGACACATATATACATGAATAACTAAAACTGAGACTCAAGGACAGTCTCTCTATGGTGGCTTCCCCTTGGTCCTTTGACCTACAAGGCTTGCCCTTCAGCTATGGCCACCTCCCCTTGCCCCAGACCCTCTGGATAAAACAGTCCGCGTTTCTTTTTCACCAAGCATCTTTATTGATACATAAAACATAGGTAACTGGGCTGGTAAGCATGCCTTCCCCGAACCCAGGCTGGGTCCTCGGGGGACATGGGACAACACGGGAGATAATGGGCACCCGGGTGGGTATTGGACCTCTCCCACCCACAACAGAATTAGTTCAACACAACACATCATGCTACAAAGTCACCCCATTTAAAACAGCCTTCCCAAGTCAAGACATTCCTTTACAAATGAGCTCCAAGATTATAGAAATGACAAAAAAAAAAATCTGGTTCAAATATACAGTATTTGCCCTTGGTAGGAAAAGTCAGAGTATACATATTCGACATGGCTGAACAGTAGGACTCAGAAACAAGGGGGGGTGGGCAGAGTGAGGCTGGGGACTTCTCCTGAGTCCCACAAAGCTGAAGCTATTCCAGAGGTCTGCAGCCAGCTCGGGAATGCTCCCCTCCAGAAGTAGGGGCAATGGCCCTGAACTTGAGGTGCCAAAGCCAGAGAAAGAGGGATTCTAGGCTGCAGCATTTGGTATGTTTTTGGAATAAATATATTATTTTTTTTTCAATTTAAATAGAAGCCAATGCCCTGGTCCCTGAACCTCATTGCCTCGTCTGGGAAGCCTGGGAGACTCCAAAGACTGGCAGCTTGAAGCGTCAAGGCCTGGCCTGGGCGGAGTGGGTAGTACACACGCAGGAAAGCTAGCCAGCACAAAATAGGTAGTTCAGGCCTAGTAGGTAGTACTGATCGTGTTTTTGCAGGGAGGGGGCGGGGAGGGGCAGGTGCTGGGTGTCTGCCACTGTTAGGACACGGAGAGGACTTCTTAGGAGTGGTGGCCCACCGGGGCTGGGCCCATAGGTAGTTTGGGGGTGCCTCTCAAGGAGGCCTGTGCTAGGTAGTATTTTAACTGTGCCAGAGCACAACACTGGCCCAGGGGTGTGGGTATCTACGGGGGTCCTCAGAGGCAGAGAGGGTCCCCAAGGTGACCTAATCTCCCTGGGAGCTAAAGCGGGTGATGGAGTGGGTGGGATGAGGGTGGGGACTGATTCCTTCTTTTTCTTTCTCTCTCTCTCTCTCACTTTTTTAAAACACTTTATTCCCTCCATTTTTGTAACTAAAATCAGAGTCTCTTAAAGACGCTTTTCCGACTGTCCTGTGCAGCCAGGGCCCTGTGCCTGGCCCTTTATTCCTCTTCCTCCTCTTCCTCCTCCTCTTCCTCCTCGTCCTCCTCCTCGGCCTTGTCAGCAGCTGCCGCGGAGACAGAGGGCACGGCGTCTTCGGGGGCCGCAGGAGGAGCCTGGCTCTCATCTTTATGTTCTTTCTTCCACTTCATGCGCCGGTTCTGGAACCAGATCTTGATCTGGCGCTCGGTGAGGCAGAGCGCGTGGGCGATCTCGATGCGGCGGCGCCGCGTCAGGTAGCGGTTGAAGTGGAATTCCTTCTCCAGCTCCAGGGTCTGGTAGCGCGTGTAGGTCTGGCGTCCCCGCTTCCTATCGGGTCCTGAGAGCAGAAATTTGGACATATAGACAAACAGACAAGCAGACTGGGATGTGGACAGAAGAGTGTTTTAGTCAGGCCCGCTCGCTGTCCAAGAGCCTGTACCTTCCACCCTGCCCAAACCCAGGCTCAATCCCCATCACCCCCAATTGAGCTGGGGGAGGAGAAGTGTGAGCGGCAGACCCCGGGTCCAGACAAACGAGCCCGTCTGTGAAGAGTCTTAGAGCAGAATTCCAACTTTACAACCGGCCCTTCCAGCCGGCTACGTTTCTACAATGTCCTGCTTCCCCTTGACAAAGGGAAATTGTAAATATAGAGTGTGGCAAGTGGGAGACTCCGCACTTTTGCCATTCAAAGGCAAGCCTAGCCGCTCCCCAGTCCTGCTAGAAAGGGAGCGACCCTCCTCGGCAGCCTCATGCACCAGACCTTCCTGTAGCAATCCCACCCTCTGTCCCATTCGATCCAGCTAGGCTCTGGAAATGGCCTCTGGGTACAGGGGTGGGTGTGGGATCCCGGAGGTCCTAGCTCTCTCCTTGCCGTTGAGAAGGAAAGCCAGGCCGAAAGAAAAGGAGGGTGGTGGTGGTGGTGGTGGGGAGCTGGAGTCAAGAAAGGAATGAAGGACAGGAAAGAAGGGAGAGAGGGGAGAGGCTGAGGGAGAGAAAAAGAGAGGGAGAGGGAGAAGGGGGAGAGAAAGAATATGAGAATGAGAACAGCAGAGAAACTTACTGTAAAAATTCCAAGGCAAATGGAGTTAAATAAATTTACGAGGATCGAACCCATTAATTGGGCCATAAAAAGTTTTATGAGCCTCATTTACATACAATGCTACGGGTCTCTCCACGCAATGGCGCCTCAGCTCTAATTAAAACCAGAAAGGCAGCGCCACCGGGACTTGCGGGGCGGCCGGCTGGAAGCCGCCAGGCTGGGCTCTCTCGGCCCCCCGCGCCCCGCGCCCGCACCCCCCCCCCCGCTCCGCCCGCACGCCGACCCGGCGGGTCGGGGCGCCTACCTGAACTGCGCATCCAGGGGTAGATGCGGAAACTGGCCTCGGCCGGGCCGTGCAGCACGCCCTCGTCCGCCTTGTCGCAGGCGCCTTTGGCGAGGTCACTGCAGAGCCCGGGGATGTTTTGGTCGTAGGAAGCGCAGGGCAGGTTGTAGGCGTCGGCGCCCAGGCCATAGCCCGACGCGAAGGGGCTCTGATAGAGGGGGCTGTTGACATTGTATAAGCCCGGCACGGTGGAGGCGAAGGCGCCGGCGCCCGGCCCGTAGCCGCTTCTCTGCGAGTTGGGTGCAAAGGAGCAAGAAGTCGGCTCGGCATTTTGGAAGAGAGAAGCCCCCGCCGTATATTTGCTAAAAAGCGCGTTCACATAATACGAAGAACTCATAATTTTGACCTGTGATTTGTTGTCCGGCAGCTTTCAGTGTCGGTTTTACGAGGTAGCGTGATATATGATAACATTACACCCCCAGATTTACACCAAACCCCATTTTCTTTTGGACGGAGCTCGCCGCGGCACGTGACCGCCCACATGACCGCCTCCGCCAATCTCAGCAGCCCTCACAGGTGGTCTCGCGCCACGGGCCGGCGGCCGCCTAGAATGGAACGGGAAGAGGCTCAAATACGCGGCCCACGCAGCGGCCTGCACCCCGCCGGCCCCCGGGCGCCCGACGCAGTCAGAGCCCCCATCCTGGTGCCCGAGCCTGCGGAAGTCCCGCAGGGTTCGCTCCCCCTCCCCCCCCCCCAAACCTCATACCTATTCCTGAACCCCAGATCCAGTGTGTAGAGCCCCCTGTTCGTGTCCTCTCTGCAGACTCAAGCCCCTGCGGGGTCTCTGCAACCTGTCGGCCCATAGATGGTCTCGAGAGAAAGAGCTGCTCTTTGCCCACCTCTCTCTCTAAGCGGGAGAACGTTTGAGGCCAGATTTGATGCTCTGGTGCAAACCCCGCAGGCGCGGCGTCGGCTCGAGCTGAGCAGAGCGAAGTGCAGCCACAAACTGGAACCATGTGGTTCGAATAAAGTCAATGTCTCCCAGCTTCCTTTCTTTAATCGGCTCGGCGGAGCACTGTTTATCCGCCCTAAAGGAAGCAGTGAAATATTTATCTATTAATGAGCCTCATTTGCCAACAGATTTATTAACATGGGATTCCCTTTCCTCCTCCCGGACACTGCCGCCCTGCAGTCTCTCTGCCTTCGCTCCTGGGCACCTGGCTGGCCCGCAGCAACCCCATAGGTGGCTCAACACCCCCTTTGTCCTTCCCACAACCCCTGGTGTTACCCCTGTATCACGGGGAAACTGGGTCATCCTCCCGCAGCTTGGAAGCTAGAGTCCACAATTTTCTAAATGCATCCTTCATACTGGAGGTTTCTGGCATCTCCCAGGCAAGCTACCCCTGCACCTCCGCCTTGTGGGCCGGGGAACAGTAGACTTTTAGAGCTAATTTGGAGTGAAAAGAGGGGGGGGGTCTCAGGGACTGGGACTGTAGCCCACCGTGGAACCCCAGTTTTTTAGGAGACTGCAGAAGCAAATAGGGGAACCCTCTCAAGGGCCACCCAGATCTCACAGCTTCGCCTTTCTAGGCACTGGTTCACAAAGGCAAACAGTCTCATTCTCTTCCTCCCAAATAGTTCCTCACCCTGGAGGCCTACCTTGCGGGACTTTGGACCCCCGTGCAGTGATAGGTCAGATGGAGGCCCTGCTGCCCAACGCTCTCTGGAGGATATTTGGGTGAACCCGTTTCCCTAAGCGCCTCATAAACTGCCCAGGCCGCGCTGGAAGACTGGCCACCTTTTACTGCTCAGCTGGATTGCACACCATAAACCGGACTTCACAATGGAATTGCCCCGGAAATTCTCCTCTAAATGAGAGAGTTTGGTTCCTGGTATACAAAGCACTTTCTCATCACTTTCAGTGGGTCCAGGCTGCCCCCCACCACCGTTCACCGCATCCTCTCTGGGGGGGGGGTGTCTTGGGAGCACAAAAGAGGAGGATGGTTCAAATCCCGCTGCAAATCCCCCAGCGCCTACCTAGCAAAGGGCGCAGGCTTTGGTGGGGAGAAGGGCAGGTGGGAGCTAGGCTATCTCCCCGGAGCATAGGGACCCTGGGGCGGCAATATCCGGGATCCCCTTTATGGTGGATCAGGATGGGAAACAGAGGGGGTAAAACAGGAAAGAAAAAAAAACACCCCAAATAGCAGAGTCTTCTCACAGAGAAATAAAATTCTAAAAAAGATAAAGGAAGACGAAGCAAACAAAAAGAAGGCCAGGAGATCAAAGAGGAGAAATTAGGCGGCTTTAGACCAATAAATTGTTCCTGGGCTGACACAGAGCCAGGCGCAAAGTGAAAGACTAGGCAGGCCCCGGCGGTCTGTCTAGACTCAGGCGACTGGAGCAGTCCAAAGCGACGGTGTCTAAAGTGGAACTTTCCTTTAGAAGGAGACCTGACAGCCAGAGTGAGAAGCGATCTGAGGTAGCACAGGAAAAACCACACTCACACGCCTAGGAAGGTCGTCTGGAGCACGACCAAGGAGTCCCCGGCAAGAGGCTCTTTTCCCGTTTGCCACGGCCAAATATGGTCCAAATTCTGCTGCTTTCAAAAGGCCTTGGCACTTCTGGGCCCAAGTCTTCCATCTGAGCAGGTCCTGGGGTCACCGAAAACCTTTCCCTTCATTTCTGGGTCTCTCTTCCCTAGCTAGACGTCACAACAATTAAAAAAAAAAAATCTGGACAAAATCCGACTCTCAATAAGGCCTATTTAATTCTGTCTTCTTTGGCCATTGGTTCCCTATTTATCTGACAGAAATGCATCTCTTACGCATGATAGTATTTCCACACAATTTAGCCCAGGCCCTGGAGAAGAAGCCTTATACGCAGGTTTTTAATCTGTGGAACTATCTAAATATTTCTCAACGCTTTTCCAGAGTTAGCTTTCAAAACTACTGTCAGAACTTGTTTCCTGACGCCAAATAGTCCTCAGTGTTTAAATCTAGATTTAAAGGTAAACCCAGCCCTTGGCGGCGAATGGTGCCTTCTGGAGAGTTTGGGGTCTTGAAATGTTTCTGTCCTCCTCCCCCGCAGGGGCTGCGGGCTTCAGCTTCTGTCCCCCACCTGGTGAGAAGCTTCTACCTTGGACGTAGATACCAATTCCTCCCTGAAGCGGAGGGAAAAAATAAAACTCGGTTCCTTTTTGCCGGTTCTTGCCTCCCAAGCAGCGAAAACCAGAGAGCAGCCTGGCCGCCAGCCGCCAATCGGCCAAGGGCAAGGGAGCTACCGGCCCAGGCAGTTCACCAGGCCTCTGAGGCCCTAGAGGCCCACACCTACCTGGGGCCTGGAGAGAAGAGGTGCCGCCAACCTGTGACTTCCACTGTTAGAAAAATAGAGCCTCCTATTGTGTTCACTGGTCAGCGATTTCGCTGCTTATTTGCAGTTACATAAAGAAAGCTTTCTGAGAATTAGGATAGGCGAGCACCGGTGCCTCTCCGGGAAGCTATAAAAACCCTTCCTACAAGCAGAGGCTGTGGAGTAGCGTGTGTTGTTACATACGGAAATATAATGATGATATAAATATGTGTCTGTAATGCCCACGTGTATACAGGAAGATTTCTAAAAGGGAGTAGGAGGGAGAGAGAGACGGAGACCCAGGAGAGATGTCAGCCAAAATCGAGTCCCTAGTTTTACAGCGTGTTCAGCACGGAGATGCGAGTCATAAACATTTTGTGGGCTTGGCCGAGACTATTACGACCCAAATAAATGCACAGCACAGCCTTTATTTCGCGGCGCTTCGAAGGGTTGGTTCTGTTTGCGCTTGTGTTTTCTTTCTGAAAGCATCTTACACCGGGAGCTGATCCCCGCACTCTGGCCGGGCTTGCTCCGGAGTATGTCCCCCGTCTAGCATTAAAAGTAGGCTGGGAGTGGATCGGGGATTTTTGCTTTTCTAGCCTCCACAGCCAGAGACGCCAGAGTAGCCTTGGCATTTCAATGCCAAAGAAATAGCTTTACCAGAGAAGCAAAAGTGACTTCAACCGCGTGAACGCCAATCCTGGAGCTAGGGTGGTATTCTACTTATTTAAACATATCATTTATTTTCGAATAACCTAACAGCTCCCAGTCTGTGCCCTGAGTTATCCCAGAGTGGCCAAATTCGCAGCACATCTACGCTAGACAGCCACCAAATATGTATGGTTTTATAACTAACCAAATTTCAGCAGCCTAATTTTAAAGTCAGGTATTCAAACCGGCCGAGTCCTGACCTCTGGGCTCTCTCTCTCTCTCTCTTTCTGGTGCTGGCTCGCTAGGCCTGGTACCCGGCCCTGAACCAGGGCGCAGGTTTCGGGGCCTCGAGGATCGGCGGAACCCGTGGCCACCGGGCGCGTTCTTTGTGGGGTCATCTGGTCCTGGGGCTGTAGGTGTTCGTTCCCTTGTCCGTCCGTCGTGAATGACCGTTCCTGCGTGCCTCGCTGCCCCCTAGATCACTGCTGGGGTGAGCACTGTGACCCCGGAATGGAACCGGCTCTCTGAGCCGCAGCCCCGCACTCTCCGCAACCGCTGCTGCCACGCAACGCCGCGGTATTGGAATGGGGCCTGGGAGGAGCCAGCGCCGACGGTCAGGCAAGCCCCGGCTCATGCTTGTGTCCCCCGGAGGCTTTCAGGTTGGCATGAGCAGCAGGGAAAATATACGACTGCCGTTCACGCGGATCCCGTTCTAGAAAGGCGCGCTTCAAGTCGACATTTTAGGAGCTTCCCAGGTCGCGGCGGCGGGAGATGGCGGCGGGAGTGCCTCTTGCGTGGAGCCACACTGCCATCTCCTGGCTTTCTCTTGGTACTGCAGCCGCAGCTGCTCTGGCCCGCGTGAACTTCGGCAGCAGCGCCGGTGACCCAAGCAGCGGCCCACTCCCCTGGGCGGAGCGAGGGCCCTGTCCCCCCGGGATCCTCGGGGAGCCGGGAATCTACGCTGCAGAGGGGGCAATGCCCATAAAAAAGAGGGCTGTTTCCGCAGTCTCTTTATCGGCGGCAGACAGAGCAAACAAATGAAAGGGTTTTGGTGGGATACCCTAATTGGAGCTGGACAGTTGTAAACTCATTAAGAACCGAATTCCAGACAGTTCGCAGACCTTCCTTTATGGCACACCCTTACTGCCCAGGCTTTGAAGTCCTTTCTGTCTGCCACAACAGAGGGCGTGCCAGCCTGGCGGCGCATTGGGGGTGGGGGCGCCCCTATCCAACCTCTCCCTGGTCCCCCTTTTTCGAGTTAGAAGACGGTCAACATTGCAGGGGGCGGGGAGGGGGGAGCGAGGAATAGGAGTTGGGATGGGGTGAAGCAAAGCAGAATCCTCTGGCTACATCTGGAAGGGGCTTGAGCCTCCGAAGTTGAAGCCGCTGTTCCCCCCACGCAGCCCTTTACACCCCATAAAGGGTAACAGCCTCATTTTCTTTTATGGCGCTTCGGGGCTTGTCGGTTGCTAAGGCCTGCTTCTGTGGGGGCTTAAGCTCCGGAGATGGCTTAACAGTGTAGGATGCTGACCCCCACCCCCCAACTCACTCTATGGGCAGGACTCAGTGGGGCCCGGGGCGGGGGTACAGCTTTTCCATCTCCTGAAAACCCCTACGTATTTGAAGGGGCCACCACCTCCTTGTGCACATTTGGATCCGGTTTGTCTCCTCAGAGCGTCCTTAGCAGGCCGCAGGCCCTCAGCTTCTGGTCCTGCACCCCTCAACTCGACCACCCTACTTTCAAGGGCCTCAGCCCCTTTTGTGGGTCCGGGTTTGGGAAAAAAAAATTTTTTTTGAGGCACCAAAATGAAAGAATGAATGGCCTTTCCACCGCTGTTGGCCACCGGTGCCCAGTGCTTCTGTCCAGGACCTCAGATGCTTCCCTTGTCGTCTGGCAAATAACACACAAGGCCCCAGTGACTGGCTATGCGAGCGAGCGGGGAGCCTCCCCAGCTTTCAGCCCCTGCTCCTGTCTCCCGGCAGCCGGCCGGCCGAGTTGGGAGTGCTTAGGCCCGGCCCGACGGGTTGCCACAGAGCTGGCTCCGGGCACCCTGCTGAAGACAGAAGTGGGGTTCTTTCTCCTGGACCTCAGCCCGGCCCCCCACCCAGAAAATAGACCTAGAAAAAGAAGGTGCAAAGAGCAGACCCGCACAAAGTGAAAGAATCAATATATTTTATTTGGCAAAAGTTAAATATCTCAACATAACAATTTGGTCAGTAGGCCTTGAGGTAACTATTGCAAAATATACAGTGTATGTTCAGTCCGATGGAAACCCCAAATTCATCAAAGGATACAAATCTACAGTAGCCCATGGCGGTTTCATGGTGTATAATTTATTATCAATAAAATTAACTCCATTACAATAAGCACCCATTTCCCCCCAATTAAAATTAAGCGTAAACCATAGGTAGTAACCCTCTGCACATATGTATAGCTCCGAATTTCCTCACAGCTCCTCTGGTGCAAAAACAATATTCAAGCTTGTCTGATTATGAATATTCCTTTAATATGGAGATTCTATGTACACTGGACAAGACTGGAGTCTAGAACACGTAAAGATGAAGACGCCCACATTTCAAAAGTAGAGAAATCATGAATCTATGCGTCCTGGAGAACTACCTCCCTTTTTCTTTCCAAATTTGATTTCACTGGGAAATCCTGATAGCTAGTTTACAATCGTAGGTTGACGGTCTAGTTACACAGTATTCCACTACAGAGCTATACTCTATGCATCTCTTCCCCCATAAACAACCTGAGTTCAAATTGAATTCTAGCTTCCACAATCACAATGGGTGTCTCACCCAGCACAGAAGTTTGAGTCACAAAACATAATTACCACAATAAAACACAGTGTTCAAGTATTTTGGCAGGGTGATCTGCCACACGAAGAGCAAATTAAATTAACTACAGAGGCTAAGAACTATACAGCCCGTCAACAGTTAGTTGTGCATTATATAAAAAGGTAGTTTTTTTTTTCCTTTTGCTTTAAGTCAGAAGCAGGTAGATTTTTTTTAAATATATATACAAGCTAGCACATACAGCCATCAGCGCTAATGCCCTTCCTTGTGTGTGTGTGTGTGTGTTACAGAAAATGGAAAGCGCACAATACCTCCTCCGATAAAGCCGCAAAAGCCGCAGGCCTAGGAGCCAGCCTGAGCAGGGACTGCCAGGGGGAGATGAGGCCTGGGGTTTAGAGCCGCTTTGGGCGGGTGGTGGAGGCTGGGGTCGGGGGAGAGGAGAGAGAAGGGGACAGACAGTCTTTCTTTTTTTTTTCTTTCTAGCTTGCCCTTTTTTCTAAAGGAGCCCTGAACGGCTCATTCGTCTTTTGCTCGGTCCTTGTTGATCTTTTTCATTTTCATCCTGCGGTTCTGGAACCAGATCTTGACCTGCCTCTCGGTGAGGTTGAGCAGCCGGGCCACCTCGTACCTGCGGTCCCGTGTGAGGTACATGTTGAACAGAAACTCTTTCTCCAGTTCCAGCGTCTGGTGCTTTGTATAGGGGCAGCGCTTCTTCCGTGTGGAGCGAGCATGAAGCCAGTTGGCGGCCGGGTTATCTGCGGGGGGAGAGAGACACTGCGTTTAGAAGGAGAGGCATCCTGGATGGGTGCGAAGGAGCCGCTTGGGGGTCTCCGGCCGGCCGGAGTGCAGGACGCCGCCGCCGCCGCCGCTGAATTGGTTAGAGAAAACACAATGAAGCCCTGGCAGACAGACCCACGGAGGGTCACTGACAACAGCAGCACCCCTTCCATCTCCGCCCTCCTCTCTCTCCTCCCTTGCTCCCCTTCCTCCCGCTCTGCACATTGTGAAAGAGTGAAATTTGGAAACCATATTCTTTTTGCCAGCAAGGCAAAGAGCAGCCTGTTCTGTGTTCATTTAGCAAGATTAACAAGATCTCTCTCTCTCTCTCTCTCTCTCTCTCTCTCTCTCTCTCTCTCTCTCTCTCTCTCTCTCATCACGGTCTCCCCTTGCCCGGTTTCCCTGCAAACTGTCCCCTTCCCTGCCACTCTCTTTGACCTTCCGGGAAGGCCGTGGGAGCTAGAGGGGGGGGGGGAGGCAGGATGCCCCAAGGCCTTTGATCACGTCTCCACTTTATTTGAATAAATCTGGCAAAGGGACCCTCGTGACTCCATAGCCCGCAGCCTCCTCTTGGGCAGGATTTACGCAGCCACCGGCCGGCCGAAAGCAAGAAGTGGAGGGAACCGGAGGTCTCCCCGAGCGTCCGGGGTCAGGTTGCCCGGCTGACGTGGCTGCCGCTGGTCGTGAACAATCTAGCCGCACAAAAGACTTCTCTGCGCTGCTTGCTTTCGAAGAACCGCCCAAAGTCTGTCTGTCCTGGGCCTGGGCAGTTTAGGAGAGGGGCGGCGGCGGGTCTCGGGCTCTATTCGCTGCGCCCGCCCCGCCCCCTCTTGCGGCAGCAGCATCCTCCTCCTCCCCTTCCCCCAGCCGGCCCGCCGGCCTGCTCCACACAGTTCTCTGGACTTGGGGCCCCTACTCTGAGGGTGTTCCAAGCACACAGCTTCTGGTTCTCGACCCCAGATCCAGAGGCTCCCGTGGAGGACGAAGGGCAGGCTCGAGAGAAAGCTGAGGCGCCTGGTAGATCCTGGTGGCCGGCGTGGAGGCAGCGGCCCGGCTGGCAGGGAGGAGACACTTACTGGGATCGATGGGGGGCTTGTCTCCACCGCTCTCATTCTCGGTATTGTTTTCGGAGAAGGCGCCTTCGCTGGGTGGTTTTTCTCTATCAACTGGAGGAGAACCACAAGCATAGTCAGTCAGGGACAAAGTGTGAGCGTCAAGCGTGGGACAGTCACCCCTTCTGGCCGACAGCGGTTCAGGTTTAATGCCGTAAGGCCGGCTGGAGGGCAAGCCCGCGAAGGAGAGCGCACCGGGCGTGGGCTCCAGCCAGGAGCGCATGTACCTGCCGTCCGGCGCCGCCGCGGCCACGGGCGCCTGGGGGTGCACGTAGGGGTGGTGGTGGTGGTGATAGACCGCGGCGGGCACCGCATTGGCGCCCGCCGCGTGCACCGGGTTCCACGAGGCGCCGAACACCGCCGCCTTGGACTGGAAGCTGCAGGGGCTGAAGTCGGGGTGCTCGGCCAGCGCTGCCGCCTGCCTCGGGGGTTGGCCCAGGGCCCCCGGCGCGTAGCGTCCGGCGCCCAGCTCGTCGGCAGCGTCGGCGCCCAGCAGGAAGGAGTCCACATAGTAGTTGCCCAGGGCCCCGGTGGTGGCCATCGCAGTAGCCCGCGCCTGGCCGGCCCAACCCGACCCGCCGAAATTATGAAACTGCAGATTTCATGTAACAACTTGGTGGCACCAGGGGGGGTGGTGGTGAAGTACAGTCACCTAATAAGTTGCCGGCGCCCGCGCCCCCATTGGCCACGCGCGTCACGTGTCCGCCCGGCAGAACAATAACGCGTAAATCACTCCGCACGCTATTAATGGCCCGGTGTTTTGCAGTCATAATTTTTATAGCAAAAGCCATATGTTTTTATGCAAAGGGATCGCGCCGCTCCACGATCTGGTTTGTTTTAATTGTGGCCAACGAAGATTAAAAGATCAAATCTGGCCTTGCCTCTGTACTCTCCCTGGCCACCCCCCCTACACACACACACACACACTCACACACACACACACACACACACACACACACACACCAGACACACACACTTCTTAAGCGGACTATTTTATATCACAATTAATCACGCCATCAGGAAGGCGCGGGTCCCGCGTGCGAGTGCGGCCAGCAGAGCCCCTCACATAAAATTAGACAATAATTGAAGCCATAAAAAGGCAGCCAAATCGCATTCTCACTCTACTGTATTTAAATCTATATTTATGATATTTCATAAGGAGTTATTGTTTCGGAAGCCACACAGGCTGGTGGGAAGTCGGGAACAACCAACAGATTCTTTTGCCTCGCTGCGGCTCCCTGTAAAAATTTACGAGGACTTGGAAAGGTTAAATTAGACTGTTGTGTTTGGTTGGTGAGCACCCTGTAAATAATCCTTTCGGTCCCCCAGGCCTGCCTCAAAAAGTCAAATACAAGGCTCTCTCCACCTCAAACAGAATGGCCACCTCCCCTGCCACGACGCACCATCCCATGGATGGTACAACCTCCCAGAGTGAGCTACCCAGCCTTGCTAGACTGTAAAGCCAACCAGGCGCTCGCACAGCACCCAAATCGCCCTTGCTCCACGAGGGAAGGCCCCACAGAGGGACTGCCAGCCTCTCTCAAGGGTTTGAGGACCTGACTCTATCACAAGTACGGCCTCGGTGCCTCGGCCCTGGCCCACGACTTGGAGCGGTTCAGCGAATTTGATTTCTCAGCCAGCGGCCGGGCCCGGTTCTCGGCTCTATCATCTGTAAGCCTCTCCCCAGACCCGAGTTGGGGAAAAAACATCAGTACCAGGAGAGTTTGTCTTGCTGAAGGGCAACCTAGCCTAAAAGAGGAGAGCTAAGGCCTGTAGTGGCCCTTCCAGGACCCAGAATGAGCACGTCTGGGATCCTTCCCTCCTCCTTTCTTTCCTCCCTTTCCTCCTTCATCCCACTTGCCTCCCTTCCATTCCTTTCCCTTCCTCTCTCTTCCCTTCTCTTCCCTTCCCTCCCTCTCATTTCCTATCTCCAGCACCCCATCTTGGTTATCTGTGAGACAGAGCAACAGAGATCCCCAAAACAAGGCTACTACCGCTCAAGTCCAGTGCTACAGATTACCACGGGAGGAGCACTGGACATTGACTTTTATCTCATCCATTGGCCAAATGGAGGACGTTATTTCTCACCCCTTAGAATCTTTGGGGATGAGAGAAAGTGAAAAGGCCACAGCCACTGTTGTTGGGGTGGGGGTGGGGGGGTGACCCCATCCCAATTCAGAGCACAAAGCAACAACTCCTAGGACCTGTGTAATTAAATTCACGTGTGAAGTCTGCGCCTTCCAAGAGTATGTTTCTGATTACTTCACTATCAGCAAAACTGCTGGGCTGAGACACTTCCATCTTGCTTTTTGATTTCTTTTCTTACAAGGAGTTCAAGAAAACACCTTCCAACACTAACACATTCCTATCCCAGGAGACAGGAATCCCCAAAATGCTAGGCTCTACCAAGGAGGAAGGCTGTGAAGGTCTGGGAATGCCAGTCCCTTCTTTGCCGTCAGCAGGAAGAAGAAAGTGGCCAACGCCAGGAACTGGATGTGGCTTGTCCCAGCCGCCCCAGTCCCCTCCCCCCAATATTTTCCTTTCCCTACAAATTCCTCCAAGTCATTCCCACCCCCCGCCCCCAGCACAGGCCAAGGTGTTCTAAATATCCGGCAGTCCTCTGAGGTTCAGATTCTCATTTAAGCAATAACCCTGGAGTATAACTCTGCTCTTAATTGTAATTGTCTGTGAGTGACAGAACATGTCTGGCTGGCTGCCTTTTTCACTTTTTTTTTAAACCCAGAGAAGAAATAGATTATTATTATTATTATTACTATTATTATTATTTATTAAAAATATTTTAAAAACATTTGTCTCCAAATAGGAGAATTACAAAATAAGCAGCAGGCATTGGGTATCAAGCAGCTGTTCACTGGTGGGCAGAAAGGGAAAAAATCCCCCAAAGCAGACATTGTTCTTGTGAGCCCAGAGATTGGATGCTAGAGTATTCAGCTTTTTACTCCTGCTTTCTTTTGGACGTGAAAGGGGTTGTATGCACATTTAGAAACAATATGTGGGTGAAATTACAAACCACCGCATTTTCAATTGAGAATCTTCCTAAAACCGTGGCCTCTGAAGTAAATCCAATAAATACCCTGATCCAGAAAATGGCAGAGGAGAGTTGAAGGGAACCGGGTGTCCTGGCCTTTCAGATAACAGGTTGTTGGGCTGAGCAATAAAAACAATTCCTAGCCTGAGCTGGGAACGGAAACAGAGTTCTGTGGTCTCGAGGCGTGAGTCGCAGCAGGGATGGTTTGCTCTCAGTTTTCCGTATTGAAAGTGGTTGGGGTGGCTTTCATAGACTACAATTTAGAACCAGTACTCGTTTGTGCCCTCTTAGTTCTTGAATTTGGCATTGTTTTTCACTCATTTAAAATATATTGGAGCTAGGAAAGCCCCCTTCTCAAACACCCAGCTGCACAAGGGGGAGGGGGCGAGGCTAACATTTTCTGGATCCGCTCCGGCTGGCAAGCCAGCCCGCAGTCAAGCCTTGGCCCCAGCGAGCCGCCTTCATCACGGTCAAAGCCCGAGTTAGGACCCGTAAAGCTGGCAGAGCCGGCCCGAAACGTCCTGCTGGAGCTCTCTCGGTAGCCAGGTTCCACAGAACCTAGGCTGGGCTTCAGCTCCGATTCCAGCTTCCGAACCGGGGGGAGCTGGTGAAGGCTTCCCTGCCCTCGGTGTGGGCACACAAAGACGCCGCGGGTGCCCCCTCAGCGGATCTCTCAGGCAGCCGCTAACGCAAGGCCGCCGCCATCCGGTCGTGATCATAACCGAGGCCTTGTCTGCGCAGAGGCCCACCAGGCCAAAAACCACGGTCCTGAACAGCCTCCCTTACGCACCCCTTCCTCCGCACACTCAATCCTGTGCACCGGGAAAAAATAAAATAAATAAATAAATAAATAAATAAATAAATAAATAAAAATGAAAGCTCTAAGCTTTCTCTAAGCCAGCCCTTTCCCCTCCGGAAGGACGATTTGGAAAGGAAACAGATATAGAATTGGACAGAAAGATGGAAGATGCAAGAAAAAAAGAAAAAGAAAAAAGGGAAAGAGCAACGAAAATGCAAAGGGAAGGGATAAAAAAGAAAGAAGGAAAGAGGATGGAAAATAAGTAAAATACACAGCGGCGACTCAGAGGAGCCGAGGGCGCGCTTGCAGAAAGGGTAAGCAACGAGGCCAGGATACCACCCCCCAAAAGGACGATCCCGACTCGCCTATCTCAGCCTGGGGCTCTGCTGGCGAAAGAATTTCCCCCCAGCTCAAGGCCGGATTACAGTGGTGCGTCTGAGTTCCAGCCCAGCCTTGCAGGAGAACAGCAGAGCCCCAGACAGGCACAAGTCTACAGTAGGAAACGCTCAGGCTGCAAGCGAGCGCCCCTGACCTTGAATGGCCCGGGGCCCAGAATTCTTACCACGCCCCCGGCGTCCCAGAATCAGCAGCTAACCTGACCATACCTGCCCCGGGCCAGGTGCGGGGCGGAAAGCGTGAGGCGGGCTGGAAGGCACAGCGCTGAGGACCCGAAGCTCCTCCAGCCCTGGGGATCCGAGGATGCCACCGCAGGCCTGGCACGATTAGGGCCTCGATGGCCCGCCTGGCCACCCCGGCTGGTACCTGGAGACGCTTTCAACTGAAGTAATGAAGGCAGTGTCGTGCTGTCGAGAGAAAGGTGGATCCCAACAACAGGAAACTACCTAAATCACCGACCAGTTCTGTTGCTGCCGGCGCCGGGCGGCCTCGCCCGCAGCCGCCTTCCGCTGCCGCCACCGTCGCCGCCAAGGAAAGAGCCCTGCTCTGCGATCGTGCCCAGACCAGCCCTCCGCAACCTGCGCCAGCCACTGCCCTAACCCCGTGGTCGTGGAAGAAGAAGCCACTGGTCCCCGGGAAGGTACGCCTAGGAGAATGGGAGAAAGGGAGGAGGGGGAACGAGAAAGGGGGAGGAAGAAGGACAGGAGGAGGGGGGCGCGAAGAGAGGGAAGCCCGAGCGGCGTGCCGATGGTTCCCCAGGTCCTGCAGCTTCGCGAAGCCGAGCAGTGCAGCAGCCGCCGCCTTGAACGACCGGAAAGCGCAGGGGACAGCACCGAGCCCAGTCCTGTGTCTGGCCGCGGCCTCTTCGACTTGCTCCCCGCAGCCGCTCGCTCTCCCCACTCGCCTCCCTCCTAGCCGCCCGCCCGCTGAGGCGCGCGCTCCCGAGACCCTCCCCCCCCCCAAGTGTCGCTCCCCCCCCCACCTCCGGCGAGCAGGAAACGCGTGGCCTAGCGGAGGGCCGCCAGGTGGGGGAGGCCCGGCAGGGGGAGGCCCGGCAGGGGGAGGGGGTGACCCTGGACAGCTCGGGCCCCGGTCCACTTAACCGCTGCCGCCGCAGGCACTAGGGGTGCTCTGTGAGTGGGCCCTCCTCCGCGGATTTAGAGCGTGGGGTCTTCCGGGACCTGGACACCCGCAAAATAACTGGCCTCTGCGAGTCTCTCTGGGGTTCCCGAAAGAAATCCCTGTTTAGCTTCCTCTGTCTATGCAGCTCTGCTCGCAACTGAAACCACTGGTCCAAGACAGCCACAATCCAGATATACTAGCAAGTCATAAAACTGAACAAAAGCCGACAAACCTTAAGGCACCAGGGCTATAGGGCCCAGACAAATTACGACCGTCTAGGTAATATTTAAATAGATGCCTAAAGTAATTGCAGGGGGCTCGGGCTAGCCCTCCTGTTGTAAAAGTGGTGGACAGGATAAAGTGGAAGGTGAAGATAAGAAGTCAAAAAAGAGGTAAAATTAAAAAGCTTCATTCCACAGCTTTTATTCTATAAGAACATAAACATCATCTTTTTTCCACGCACAGCAGCAATACAATATTAATTTATTCTGATTTAAGATTTGATGTAAATAAAGCTAGAACTAACATTTATAATAACGATAGAATGCATTTGCTTAAACAAGATTGGCAATTTTTCATAATAATAGACATTTATACAGATTTGTACTTATAGTCTTTTCTTTTTCTGCACCTACAGGTTTGACCCTTTTATGCATTGTAACTTCACAGTATAAAGGAAATCCAAACAATGTCTCCCTTCTCTCATCTGCTTGCCCCAGCCCGCCTAGGCTTCCATGAATTTCAGAAAGCCTACAAAACAAAAAAAAAAGGGGGGGGGAATTAAAGCAAAACAAACAAACAAAAACAAACAAAAAAGACCAACTCCATAAGATAGGGAGAATCATGGTGTGCTTTTCGCGTGTTACCAATTGGTAACAATTTTAATGGCAAAAATCCACTAATTCCACATGTATAAACAAACCTACATTATTTATCAACAGCCAGGATATGGAAATTCAAAGGTAAATGAAGGATTTTAGTCAGGCAGGCAAGACCTTAGCAAACCGGAAGAGAAGGTTCCTTCTCCTGGCCATTTTTATTTTCATTTAAAGCTGGGAGATCTTACAGAGGAAGGAAAAATTAATCTTTCTGATTATTTCTTTCTCATTTTTTTTTTCAGTCAGCCAGGTCAAGCCCTTTAGCTAACTAACCTGCATGTCCACGTTTCGATTCTCTGCTCTTGGCCAAGGAAGAAAAGAAAGAAGAAAAGAGAAATCAGGCCTGTACTCCCTGATTAAACACAGCCCAGCAGCACTCCAGGCTGGCGAACCCGGTGGCGGCTCCCTGCACCATTGACCTCAGGCCAGACACCTCAGGGCCGACAATGGGACCTGGGGCTTCCGGCTAAGTTTACCCAGGGCTGGGCAGGAAACCAGATCTATGTCGGAGTACTGGGGCTGTTTCTAGCAGTAGGGACCCCCCCCCCCCCGAGGCAGCGAACCCAGCCCCGTCCGGACTTGACAGTGAGGACAATCTCAATCTCTATAGAATTTTAGCGATATGGCTTTTTCCCCCAGAAGACAAGTAAACCAACACCAAGCAAAACAGACAAAGAAACAAAAAGTCAGAACAAACCAGCCCTGCACAGACGAAACGGCCTGGGAGATGGCGGAGAGTGGAAAGGAGGACTAGGGCTCCGGTACAGGTGCGAGTTCTGGGCCAGAGGCTGGAGGCAGGAGGGGTACGGGGCGCTCTGGAAGCGGAAACGCGGCATTGCCTGGAAGTTTCATCAGGAAAAATTAAAGTTGGCTGTGAGCTCCCGGATTCGGTTTTCTCGGTTCATTTTCTTCAGTTTCATCCTGCGGTTCTGAAACCAGATTTTCACTTGTCTGTCCGTGAGGTGGACGCTGCGGCTGATCTCTAGGCGCCGCTCTCGAGTAAGGTACATGTTGAACAGAAACTCCTTCTCCAGTTCCAGCGTCTGGTGCTTCGTGTAGGGGCAGCGTTTCTTCCGGCCGCTCTTTGCCGTGAGCCAGTTGGCTGCGTTTTCGCCTTTGGAAATGCCTGGAGTTTAAGAGAATACAGAAGGGAAGGTTAAGTCGAGGCCACTCGGGCTGTGCGAAGGGGGGGGGTGAATTCCGGGTCTTTCCCATTCGAGGCTTGCCCGAAGTCATAGAGAGAGGGTTATGGCCTCCTTTGACTTTCGGAGAACAAGAAATCCCTCCAAAAGGCATGACAAAATCGAGTGGGCCTCAAATCCACACCGGGTCCTCCCGATTTACATTTCCCTCTACTTTTTTTTCCAGGCACCTGTTTTAACACCACGCCGCGGGGCGCTCAGAGAATGAAAGGCCGGAGTAGGCAAGGCCGTACATCTTGAACTTAACGCCTTTCTCTGCCTCTCACCCAGGGGCAGGGAACCATTTCCTGCGGGCCCCCAGGCTGGGGGTAAGGGATGCTTATTTGGACCAGAAGCCGGCCTCTTTGCTGGCCCCATAGTCTGCCCTAAGCCAGAAGAGAAGGACATAGTTGGGCCAATTGGGAAGTCCGGAAAAACCGATCCTGGGGTCAAGGGCTGTTCCGCCCGTCTCTCCAAGAAACTGGGGTGTGCAGCTGGGCGACACCGAATTCCAAGAGAAGGGAAATGGCCACTTCTAGGTTTCAGTTCAGGGCCCAGGCGTCCGGGCGGGATTTGCCTTTTCTTCTTCTTGCAACCAGGATTCCCGCCCCTCCAGGAACTTTGAAAAAAGGCACGGGGGATCGTAAACTCGAACTTCGCCGGTTAATGGGCTTATTTATTGGCGCTGGCGGCTGCTTATTTTGGATGCCTTACAAACATCCGTGCTATCTGCAGGCGAGCCACTTTCCCTCCCTGCCCCTCCCCCCCGCGTGGGCCGCGCTGAGCAGGCTGGGCTGGGGACCAGGGCTTGGGGGGTACTCAGGGCCACAAGAAAGTGCATGCACGGGAGGAGGGCTGCTCACTGGGGTCCTCATCATCCCCCAAGTCTGGGTGAGCTGGGGCCAGCACTATGGACCTCTTGATGTGGGGCACTAAGCCGGACATGGGTTTTTACAGCGTCCCCACGCCCAAATATTAAAAACAAGTTCAGAAGGTCAGCCTGCCTTCAGCTTTGGGCCAAGGCCTGCGGCTGCCGCGCGGGCTCCTGGTCCTCGGCTCCTTCCTTGTGGGTCTGTCTGTTTGTCTGCCCGCCTGACCGGAGCCCTCGGTGGTGGCACTCTGCTTACCCAGGGAGTCCTTCTCCGGCGAGGCTTTACTGTTTTCGGAAGGGGCCGGGGACAGCTCCTCGGCCGCCGAGGATGACGCGTGCGCCTCCTCGTCGCCCTGCGAGCCGCCGCCGCCGCCGCCACCGCCGCCACCGGCGCAAACCAGCGTGGGCGGCGGCGTGGAGTCGAGGGTTCGCTCCTTCCCCGCTGCCTCGGCTGAGCTCGAGGCCAGTGCGGGCGGCGGGTCGAAGCCGCGCCCCGGGGGCTGCGCAGGGAAAGGACTGGCGAGCTGCTGTGTGCCACCGCCGCCGCCGCCGCCGCCGCCGCCGCCGAAGCCCTTGGCCGTGCCGTAGGCCTGGGACAGGCGGAAGTAGCCCGGCACTGGCACTCCGCTGGAGGCGCCCAGGGTGCAGCCGTCGGGCGGCGGGCCCCGCGGGAAAGGGGCCAGGTCGGCGGCGGCCGAGCCTTTGGGGCATTTGTCCGCAGAATCGTAGAGGCAGTAGGAGCTCTCTTCTTTGATGTTCTGCGCAAAAGAACACGATGTGGCCTGTGGCGGGGGCTGGGGCGGCTGCGGCGGGGGCGGCGGCTGCTGCTGCTGGGGTGGTGGCTGCGGTGGCGGCGGCCCGTCGGGTGGCTCCATCCGGCAGGAGCGGGGCGCGTCCAGCCACAGGTCTAGGGGCGCGGGCGCGTAGCCATGCGTCCCGGGACCCAGGCCCCCGTTGCCACCCCCGCCACCGCCTCCGGGCGATGGCGCTTCATTGCGCTTGCTGCCCAGCGCGGGGAAAAGCCCGCAGCTTTGCAGCCCGTAGGGCAGGTCGCTGGCGGGCGGCAGGTAGACCCCGCTGTGGGCGTAGTAGCCGCCTCCGCCGCCCCCCGCGCTACCGCCACCGCCACCCGCCTCGCCTCTGGCTGAGTTGATGAGCGAGTCGACCAAAAAAGAGTTCGCGGCAGGGCTCTCCGAGCATGACATTGTTGTGGGATAATTTGGCGAAGGGAGCAGATAGCCCTTTCTGGCTGACATTTCTTGTGCAAAACATGCTGAATACGATTAGCAATCCCCCCGCACCGCGGCGGGCGCCCACAGCCAATCCCGAGCCAGAGTTTCCACGCGACCACTCCCAGTTTGGTTTCGTAGGCGCGGGGCCGCTCTCCGAGGGCGCCCTCGGAGCCCGCGATTGATATAAATATGTAATCTGTATTGATGGGCCAGAAGACGCACGCACGCCTGACACCTATGGCCCGAAGGCCAGAACTGTGGGGGCTGCCTCAAAGTGGCGGTCTGGGGACCTGGCTCTTGAGCCTGCAACTCGCCCCCCCCCCAGCAAAGAATATATTTGGAAGCGCCCTTGGGCCCTGCGCTGTTAACAAGTGGGGTGTTTATGATGTGCACCCCAGCCATCTTTGGGCGCTCCCATGTCTGCTGTGGAGTGGCCATAAGTCCTTGTCGCCCCTTGATCATTTAAGCAGGCCCGATCGCAGTCCCTCCGTCTTATTCATTTCTGGACCTGGAGCTGGTTCTAGTTCTTAAATTTGGCTCCCCCCAAAGTGGCTGGTGTGGTCCTAAGGCTGTCAAGACCCTCGGAGTGTCCAGAAGCCACAGTGAACTGGAAGCTGGCTAGACCACATCGCACAAAGAATAATATCGAAAAGGCACTGGCTGATCGCCGCCGCCCGAGCCCGTGCCCACGACTGACTTCCCTTCTCCATCCTTTGGCCAGTCAGGGTTTTTCTCCTTCCCCGTGCTCAGTCGGTTCATGTCCTCTACTTCTGTCATCCGGCCTTGCCTAGCTGGCTCAGTGAGGTGAAAATCAACGGTCTGGCAACCCCAGCCAAAGACTTGCCACCACCCCTCGGTTCAGAGTCAAATGCATACTCCCCGCCATCCCGAGGGGTCCCAAATTCACTTCCTTTGGGGGATTAGAATGTTGGCCTTGGGTTTCTGGTCTTTCTGCACTGGGGGCGGGGGGACGGGACTGGAGGGGAAACCTTGGAAGGATGTGTCCAGCACATACCTCTACCACGCTGCTTTCTGTCCTAGCATTAGTAATCCTTAGCATTGCTATGCTCCCTGAGGTTATGACAAAAACCTGTCACTACACCCATGTCTTGCTGTCCTCCACCACCCCAAACAGGACCCCGCCCCCAAGACATGACTAGGGCAGTTCTTGTTCCAGCCATTTTGAGTATAGTGTGCACATTTTAACAAGGTGGTGATGAGGCAATCCATTCCCTGGAAGGCTAAGCTGGGTTCGGGCCCTGTTATAAGAGACTCCAGAGACCAGGAGCTTTGCTTAGCAGACACTGGGTTCCACTCAGGGGTGCTTTCTTAAGCAATTACAAGTGGTCAGCCTGGGACACATGTAACCCCCAAGTGTGTGCCTCCTATCAAGCTCAGGAAATGTGACCTTTTCCGGCAGGATCCAGTGGAGCTTGTGCGGTTGATGCTCTGCCCCTGACCTGTAACCCACAAGGTTACAAGGTCTCCAGGATGCCCTGGGCCTGCCAGCTCCAGTTGGAACTGGAGCCTTGCTGACTGCCCAGATCCCAGCAACTACATTGTTTTCAGGCCTCTGCAAACAGTAGAGAAAGGCTGAAATGGTCATGTTCTGGTTCCTCCCAGAATGACTCCAGCCACTGGACAAAGACAACCCTGAGAGGACCCTGAATGCAGAAAACACGTAGGAGACGGAGCTAGGAAGAGGCCAGCCTCTGGATTCTGCGATTCAGGCAACCGAGGTTGTTTGCAGCTGCTTGGCCAGCCGCGCCCAGGAATCCGTGCTTCTGCTAACACGAGGGAGGCATCCCTGTCACCTCTACCTCTGTCTCTCCAAGGTGACTCTCTGGTAGGGCTGGGTATCTAAGCAACTGAATGCAAAAGAAAGGAGTGGAGAAAGAAATCGGGCGGAGGGAGATGAAGAAGGAGACAAGGGGATGAGAGAAAGGAGGGGAAATAGGAACACAGATGAGCATCAGCTCTCTGCTGCCGGAAGCTTCAATCTGCAGCAGCCACTCCGGAAAATAAAAGCTGGGTCTGTGTGAGACATCGTTAACTATCTGTTTTGCTTCTGCACCCAAGGCCGAGGCAAATTTAAACTTGGGTGGGCCTAAAGAGCCAGACAGCTAGAACGCTGCAAACCTTCAGAGCATTGAAGCCTATGGTCGGTTCTACCTTAAGCTTCCAGGATATGCTGGGTCCCTACTCTGTTCACAGGCTTGGTGGAACTCTTGTGTTCAACGTATCACCTGGAAATGCCCTGAAACTGGGGCTACCTGGGGCGGAAAAAATGCCCTTTGCTCTCCAGCTGTTCAGATGCCTCTCTGGAGAGCTGTTCTGTGGGGAAGTGGGTTCCCAGAGCGCTGACTGTTCCTTGAGGAAAAGGAGCAGCAGCAGACCAGCAGGCTTGGGGGCCAGGGTGAGAGCCCTCAGCTGCCCCTGTCTGGATCACATGCAAGAAGGAGCTTCCCTGACTGTGGTTTTTGGAGAGTGGCCACTGGAGAGTGCTTGAGACAGCAGAGGCTACAAGAAGAAAGAGGAAGACGGTGATACAGACACAGCATCCTCCTTAACCTTCCAGGGTTTCAAGGAGCCCTCTGAGTAATCCAAGGGTAGTTCTGACTTTTATCATATGAAAACTCCAAATCTGCATTCCCATGATTTGACCCATCATTTTCAAGGAGTTTGTAGAACCTCACCCCGCGTTCCCCCCCCCCCAAAAAAAAAAGCCTTCTCTTCAATTTCTCTAAAGCATCCAGGACTCTCCTGGGACGCAGCAGCCCCTGCCTATTTGCCTGGTAAAATAAGCCAGGTGCCCAGCTACAAGCCGCTCAGGCTGGTCCTAGCCAAGGCCTTGTAGGATAGCCAAATGGGCTTCTAGGCTGGATGGGATCCAGAAGGCAGCAAATGCTGACCAAGGTTAAAAAGTCAGCTCCGGCACTGCATATAAAGGCCGCCCGTCTGCTAAAGGTTGGGGGAATTTAGATTGCCTGCTACCAACCTCACAGACCATGGCATTGGCCTGGATCTTCATCAGCTTTTGTGGAGAGCAGATATGTTGTTCTCAACAGTAACTTCCCCGGCTTGCAGGAAACCAAACGGGGGTGTTTAATTTGAGCTCTTTCTTTTCTTTCCTTGTTTAAGCGTGTAAGCCTTCATGGAGATCCCATGCTGCCTGGGAGCTCTGGTCTACACCCACTGAGACTTGCTGAGCAAGGGGACAACAGGAGAGCCTACCTACCGTGGGATACTGTGGGGTGTCTGGCCCACTGATGTGGCGATCTCAAAGTAAATACAATGACTCAGAAACTCAAGGTAAATGTGGTTTGCAGTCCCAGGCATCCCTCAGCCACCCTGAAGGCTCCAGTGTCTCCCTAGACCACAACAATGAGGTGTTAGCCTCCTCAATAAAAATATTCTGTTTATTGAGCTCCTTGGCTTTCCGGAGATTCACCATCCCCAGGAGATTAAGTATAGTAATCCCCCTTTCCTTTCTTTCTTTCTTTCTTTCTTTCTTTCTTTCTTTCTTTCTTTCTTTCTTTCTTTCTTCCTTCCTTCCTTCCTTCCTTCCTTCCTTCCTTCCTTCCTTTCTTTCTTTCTTTCTTTCTTTCTTTCTTTCTTTTCTCCTTAGCCTTTCCTCTCAACTGCTGATTTCCCTTTTCCTTCTCTAGATGTCTTTGACCTAAACCCCGTGGTGCCTGCTGGCCTTAACCAAGCATGTGTAGCAATCACCCTGCTGCCGCCACGGCTAGAGTCTGTGTTTGTTCGGGAGTAAATATTGCTGGATTCTACCTGGTGATAACACCCATTCGCTCCATGGAGCCACAGGAAATACCAGGCACATGAATCAAGAAAGTTGGAGGATTCCTCTGCATTTTACTTGATGGCAGATGCCTCTCCCTGAGCAGGTCCTTGTGAGGCCCCCCAAATACATTCTTATTATGAAAATAAGCTGAGTTTTTCACTAGGACAACACAAAACAAACAACAACAAACTAACCCCCCCAAAACCTAGGTCCTGAGAATGAAATACAAATCAGTTTGTGTATGGAGACCATTCTCAACGTTTTTTGGGTGTTCCAAATTTTGCAGAGGGCTGTAGAACTGGGTTGAAGCTTCAGAGTGGAAAATTAATACGGCGTCAGCACATCCAGCATTAACAAAATTTCAGAAATTCTCCCAGTTATACATTTATGAATAACTAGATTTTTTTCATAAGCAATATTCCTCTCCTGTTCTTTAAGAATATTGACATTTCCAGGGATGTTTAATGTGTGGGTTTTTTTTTCTTGTCTACAACGTTCAGTCTATTCTCAGATTAAAATATTTTTCTATTTTTCTTTTCTGTAAATGCAACCATCGAGTTGGCCTTGCAGGTTAGTGGGGGAAGTATTGGGGCCTGTTGTCAGCGGTCCTGAAGGACCAGTGTGCTCTTGGTTTTGTAGGTAAGGAAATGGCTCTGGCCTGAAAAACTGGAGGCAGCTCAGGAGTGTAAGAAGAGTTCCCAGCAACAGCAGATCACAGGGTGGGCCCTCATTTCTGCTCAGGCTGACTTTTTTTCTGGCACGACTTAGGAGCCCATGCTTTACAAAACTAGCCATTCATAAGCATGATTTTTGCTCACACACATGTGAACAGAGTCAGCACCTATTTGTTATGAAATTCTTTTTACTAATCCATGGTGTGGTATATTTGTGGAAAGAAACTATTTCGAGAAACAAATGAAAATATATTAAAATAAAAATGTAAATATGGGAGAAACAGGAGATTTAAATCTGGCCTTCAAAATGCAAGGACTTTGGTTATTTAAAAACCAAAACCACTTGTTTTATGAAAGTCTTGAACAAATGCCTCGTGGGTCAGACTTGATCCTCCGTGCCGTTTAAACAAATATAACGATATTTACCAATGTGTTTTTGTATAATTTGCAAAATATGCAATAACACTCCCCCCTCGTTTTAACAGCTAGAAGATTTTGTTGGAAAACGCCAACCAGTATTATGATGCCACATTCCAAATACGCAGTACACAGTACGGGGCTGTCTCCAGCATCCTCAAAAAGACAAAACCAAAAAACCCATTCTTTGAATGGCCTTTTTTGGAACAAAGCTTATTTCTAGCCTGCTGAGCAGACTTCTAGTCAGCACCTACAAGAAAACCGGTAACCTCTGGCGGGCTGCCCCAGGGAATAAACCCGCTCCAACCGCCACAGATGCTGACCACTCCATTGTTTCCAAGGAGAAACTTTGTTTTCCTTAGTCTACAATCTCTTTTTTCTCTCTGAACAGCCCCAATCCCAGCACAGCTGATTCTCTTTCGCCTGGGTTCCGACCATATCTAACGCGTTCAGAGCTGAATATTTCAGCAAAAATCGAGAGATCGCCTGGGGCGAGAAGCTTGGGTGAAATGCTGGCGCACAGAGCTAAAACGGACAACTTTTCCACTCAGGCCTCCCACTGCTTCCAACTATAGAGAGCTATGGGGAGTGCGCGCGGGGGGTGGGGGGTGGGGGGAGTGGGGGGTGGCAAACGTTCATCACCCCACAAACTCAATCCTGGCCTGGAGCTTCGCTTAGGCATCAGCTACGTCCCCACTCCCACCTCTGCTACAGTGAAATTGATAAACTTGTGGCCGCTTACCTTGAGTCATTTCTGAAATCACTGCCAAAGGGCAGCAGCCTCTCCACGCCGCCGCGATGCGGAGAGGCCTAGCGAAGGCGCTGTGCTTTAAATTACAACCCCAATCACTTCTTGAGCGCGAGGCTCCCCTTTTTTTTGAATACGAAGGGGAGCCGGACAAGTGAAATAACGTACCGTGCTGCTCTTAGTATCAGAAGCGAACAAAGGCCAAGAATC